AAACAATGTAGGACAAGAAGGTGATGACAATGCCCAGACTTGCATTGCAGGTGGACAATAAAAGATTGCATGTGCTACTGTTTCTTCAGGTTCCCCACATCATGGGCAGTGGTGATCACATCTCTTATGTCGATAGTTCAAAGTACTGGTAATAGCCACATGACCTGTGATTATTTGCCACATAAGATGGCATATCTTCTGGGGTGCCTTAACCTTCCAAGCATGTGCTTGAAGTTTTGTGATACTAGGTTCACAAACTACAGCTTCCTCCTCCATCCTCAATATATTTCGTGCAACCCAATATCCAGATTTTACTGTGTACTATCCATTCCTTGTATAACTCCAGCAATACGTATCCCTGCTATGTGTTGTACTTATGGCCATACTTCTTATGAGTGGTATGTCCGGAGCATCTATGTAGTTTTCCAGCCGGTTCAGATTCCAGGAATTTGTTTCTTGATTAATGAGGTCACTCACTCTCATATTCGGATGCAAAACCAGTACAGATGGGGACGCTTCTCTTGCCGGAATTGTAGGAATCCATGGATCCTCCCAAACTCTGACCTCATATCCCGAATGAATTTTCTGTCTAATTTCCAGCAAGAGTAATTCTCGTGCCGCCGAGATGCTTGTCCACACATACGATGGGCTACTAGCATTCATCTGTCGCAAAGGCCAGCTCAATCGATAATACCGGCCCCTCAAGACTCGAGTTACTTGCGAATCTGGATATTGAACCAATCTCCATAACTGCTTTGCTAACAATGCCAGATTAAACTCATGAATTATCCTAAACCCAATCCCTCCTTCCTCTTTAGATAAGCATAACTTATCCCATGTTGACTAGTGTATTCCTCTTTTTGGGGGGTTCGAACTCCACCAGAATTGTGCAATGGCACTAGCTAGAGCATCACAGATCTCCAACGAGAGTAGGAAGCAAGACATCACATAAGTTGGGAGTTCTAGCAGGATCGATTTAATCATAACTTCCTTGCCACCTTTTGATAACCACCTTCCCGTCCATCCATTAACCCTGTTCCTCAGCTTATCCTTTAAGAAGGCAAAAAGCTTGCATTTAGATCCACTGATATCCTCTGGGATTCCTAAATATGTTCCCATCCCTCCTTCATTCTGAATCCAAGAGTGTCTTTAATCTCTTGCCTAACATCATGTCCGATTCTCTTACCAAAGAGTAGAGATGATTTATCAAAGTTAATACATTGTCCTGAAGCTTGTCCATATTTTCTGACCACTTTCATTACTTCTTCACATTCAGGGGCTCCGCCTTGCAAAAGAACAGGCTATCATCAGCAAAGAGAATGTGAGATACCAAAGGGCACGCACGCGTGATGCGCATCCCCGTTATCTTTCCTTAGTTCTCTGCGTGATTTAGAAGGCTAACAAGCGCTTTCGTGCATAGAATAAAAATGAAAAGGGACAGAGGATCCCCCCTGTCGCAGACCTCTCTCCGGGACGATATTCCCTCTTGGCTGACCATTCATGAGGACCTTATACTTTACTGATGTTACGCATCGCATAATCCAAGTTATCCATACTTCTGAGAATCGATCTTTCTCATGGTGGCCTCGATGAAAGACCATTCCATTCTATCATACGCCTTACTCATATCTGTTTTAATAGCCATCCTCTTATTGCGTCAACTCGGTTTCCTTCGTAAGGCATGGAACATCTCCTAAGCGATCATAATGTTATCAGATATCTGTCTCCCAACACAAAAAAAATATTGCAGCTCTTTTAAATTCACCCTATCTGAGAGCCTATCAACCTCCCTTGTACCATTGAACTGCAACGATTGCATGCTCTATCTCTCATCTCACCCTTTGTCGCTTGTTCCATGACTGTCCATCTCGTTTTCTCCGTCATTTGTTCCATCAGCTCAAAGCCGCTTGTTTCATCGCTCTCTGCCACTTGTTTCGTTTCTCTCCTACTCTTACTCTGTCGTCATCGATGAGTAGCAAATCAACCGGCGGTTTCAGATTTGAGGGGAATAAGACATACCAAGTGTCACCCGTGAGAAAACTCCGCTTTAGATCGGGAGAGAAAAAATTACGGGCCAACAATAGCAAAAAAAAAACAAAATAAAAAGAAAAGTCCAAATATTTCAGACCCAAAATCGAATCTGCCTACGTGGACTAAGTGACGTGGACGCCTACGTGGTTAGCCTTTTGGAAAAAAAAATTAACATAAACACAATCCTCCCTTCCTCTTTCTGCACAAAAAAAATATTGCAGCTCTTATAAACTCACCCTATCTGAGAGCCTATCAACCTCCCTTGTACCATTGAACTGCAACGATTGCATGTTCTATCTCTCATCTTACCCTCTGTCGCTTGTTCCATGACTGTCCATCTCGCTTTCTCCGTCATTTGTTCCATCAGCTCAAAGCCGCTTGTTCCATCGCTCTCTGCCGTTTGTTTTGTTTCTCTCCTCCGCTTACTCTGTCGCCATCGATGAGAGGCAAATCAACCGACGGTTTCAGATTTGAGGGGAAGAAAACATATTAAGCGTCACCCGTGAGAAAACTCTGCTTTAGATCGGGAGAGGAAAAAATTATAGACCAACAATAGCAAAAAAAAACACAAAATAAAAGGTAAAGTCCAAATATTTCATGCCCAAAATCAAATCTGCCTCAGTGGACGCCTACGTGGTTAACCTTAAAAAGAGAGAAACATAGGAATATGTAGTAAATAATAGATATATATTAAATACAGTGATATTTAAAATCTCTAGTAATCATAAAAGTAAGTTTAGCGAGATTCGAAACCTAAAATTAGTTTTCCCCGTCCGAGTGTATAGAATCGAAAGAAAGAAAAAAATAACAAAAAGAGAAGGAAAGGCTGATTGATTGATTCTCTGTCATCCACGCATCTCTCTTGGTTGGGCTTTGCCAAGTCAGCATTCAAACATCTCAAAGCTAAACGCATTTTACAAATTTTCCCAAAGCAAATCCTTCAGCCAAAGGAAACTAAATAAATAAAATTAACAAAAAAAAAAGCATTCAGTCTATCTCTCTCTCTCTCTTTCTGTTCCGACGACAGATCGGTGACATTACTATATCATCAGATTCTCGTTTAGTACGTGGGGAGATCAATCTAGATACGATACTTCGCCATGAATCCTGAGTAGTAAGAGGCCTCTCTCTCTCTTCTCATGATTTTAGATTTTATCTCTATGATTTAGCCCTTTTTATTTCTGTTTTGTGATTTGTTCTGTGGTTTGTTTTTTTTTCGATTTTTGCTTTTTGGATCTATGTTGGTTGCTCAAATTAATCTACCCAATATTTTCCTCGTTCGTTTGGGGTCGTATTTAGTCTGATCGATTCTCGATTTGGACCTTAAATAGGTTAGATCTAGGGGAAGCTGACTGAGATCTGCTTAAATTCGATGAGGGTGTGACATATAACACCTTTGATCTCTTTCGTCACCGATGATTTTTACCGTTGTGTCTTAATCCGTTTTTGTTTATTATAAATTTTATGGCAGTGACTATCTGTTCAAGCTTTTGCTTATCGGTGATTCTGGTGTCGGAAAATCATGCTTGCTTCTAAGATTTGCTGTAAGTAACTCTGCACAAAACTCTCTGTTTCTTTTTTCTCAGCTGAAGAATATAATTATTAGATGCATCATCATCTTTAGTGAACTATCTATCTATAGGTTCTTGGAAATCACATCTTGTTTGTCAAAACAATCATCGTTTGTCAATTAAATCGCCGCTTAGTACTCTGTTTAGTGTTTACACAATGGTATCGTTTTTACTCTCTTATGCGTTATAATTTTGGTATCTTGAATTTGTGTGTGCAGGATGATTCTTACCTGGATAGCTATATCAGTACCATTGGTGTTGACTTTGTAAGCATCCTCTTCCTCCTCTCACCGGTTTGTTAATATGCAGACTACGGAAAAAAATAAAAGTATTATTCATGTAATGCAGAAAATCCGCACAGTGGAACAGGACGGAAAGACAATCAAACTCCAGATCGTAAGTGTGTTCTTGAGCTCCATTAGCAAAACATATACTCAGTTCAAATTTTTTTTGTAATCAACCTGTCTGTGTACAGTGGGACACAGCAGGTCAAGAACGTTTCAGGACTATCACCAGCAGCTACTACAGAGGAGCTCATGGAATCATTGTATGTGCACTCACTCTCCTCACAAAACCAATCGTCTTTTTCTTAATTCACATCCATTCGCTCACAGTTGACTTGTTTTGGAAGGTCACCTATGATGTCACTGACCAAGAGAGCTTCAACAACGTCAAGCAATGGCTTAATGAAATTGACCGTTACGCTAGTGAGAATGTGAACAAGCTACTGGTTGGGAACAAAAACGATCTCACATCACAGAAGGTTGTTGCCACTGAGACAGCTCAGGTAAATAAAACAAACCGACTGGTCACTTTTTGCTGTGTAACATTGTCGAAACACACAATAACATTGTTATCTTCTCCTCCTACAGGCTTTTGCAGATGAACTTGGGATCCCTTTCTTGGAAACAAGTGCTAAAAATGCAACCAATGTTGAAGAAGCTTTCATGGCGATGACTGCTGCTATTAAGACCAGGTTTGGATTATATTCTACTTGTGTTTGTTCCTTTAACCCTCTACTTCAAAACTTAGCCGTTTTTGTCTGCAGAATGGCTAGCCAACCATCTGGAGGTGCCAAACCACCGACGGTCCAGATTCGCGGACAGCCAGTGAACCAGCAATCAGGCTGCTGCTCATCTTGATTCCATTAGAGTCTCAAAAGGTCTCTTTGGATCATTACACCATTATAATCATTTGCTTGCATCGCATGTAAGACTTCACCAGTTGTGACAACTCGTTGACTTTTTTTTCTTTCATTTTATAGCTTTGCTATTCTTTCTGATTGTATTTCGAAGTTTGAAATTCATACATTCTATAGTAATTCTAATTTCTCCATTCCTATAAATAAATTCCAATAATTCTATGGTAATTATGACATTAATCAAGGATTAGAGTTGTCGGCAAACGAATATAAACATTTGTCAGATCAAAGTTTATAATTTGTTTTTTCATCATAACTTAAAAAGCACTCGAACTTGTTTTGTAGTAGAAAAAGTGTAACAAAAATGATAAAATTAAGAACAAAAATTAAACTAAAGAGAGTAGAGATAGATAGATGCTGAAGGACCAAGAGAGGGGCTCTTCACTTGCCCAACGATGGGAACTGAGCACTGTCTCCAATCGCCGGAGCAGGAGCTCCTCTGTTGACTTTTTCTTCTCCCTGTCCACGACCACCATTGCGACCACCTCCATCTCTTTGTCCACGACCTCTTCCACGGTATCCACCTCTTGGGTTGTATCTCTCTCCATCAGCCGGTTTCAAAAACTCGTTAATGCTCAGCGACTACAAAATCACACACACAACAAGGCAAAGATTCAGTACGACTACATTTAAACTTGCATTTTGGAACGTGAGAAGGGTAAGAAACAAGAACCTTCTTAGCCTTCTCTTCTTTCTCAGCAGCATCTTTGCGTTTGTCTTTGTCTGATCCCTGATGCCATAAATAACAATGATCATCTTTTGCTCAATTATTATCAACGCATCTGATAAAATACACACAATAAAATAAAGATAGAAAGTATAACAAATTCAGATTCTCACCAGCTTGATGAAAATTTCCTCATTGTTGGTCTTCTTGTTAGAGAGCTGTTGCATAGACTCAAACACTTTGGTGTCAACTTTCCTTTCCTCAACCTTTGTAGCTTGCAGAGCTTTCTTCTTCTCCTCCAGAATTTTCTCATACTCTTCCAATGTCATTTCCTAATATTAAACGCAATACCCATCTTAATGTTAACATATACATTACTACGCTTAAACTTTGAACTTTCCTCCTCTCATATAACAGGCAAAATATGTTTATACCTTGTCTTCAGGTTCTTTTTCCTTCTCCTCATCAGCAGGAGCCTCTTTCTTTGCATCGGTGGTGTCCTCCTCACCGCCTTCTTTCTCAGCAACAAGGCTCTTCTCAACCTCTGTTGTGGCTTCCTCCGTTGGTCTAACATGTAGACAAACATAGACTTTCTAATCTAGTCTATAGTACAAGACATCAAGCAAAGAAACTGAAGAGCAGGGTGCTTACGGTGGAATATCATCTTCAGGGGTACCCCAGTTTCCACGACCACCACCCTCACGTTTCAGGTCATTACTAGCAAACATCAAGTTACAAGAAGCAAGTATCAGAAACCCACAAGTTAATCATAGCAGTAACCAAAGTAGAAAGACCTTAAAAATAAAGCATACCCACGACCAGTCCCACTACGGCGCTCAAAGGCCCTCTTTGGGCGGTCCACATCACCTGTTTTACCATTGGCATATCCACCACGGGGACCTCCACGACCACCACTTTCGCGGTAACCACGGAATCCACCAGTCCTTTCTCCATCCTTTAGATCATGAGGTCTATCTCCTCCGGGATTAAATGAACCACGAGGAGGTCCACGTCCAGCACCACCACCACCACGACCTCCTGAAGGAGCATTCCTTGACTCCCTTACTACATTAATTAAAGATTAAATCATTTCTCACGTATACTTCAAAACGAGTAAAAGCAACTTTACAAGATTCATATTCTAACTAGAATAAATCATAGCTGCAATATAAAAGATTATGTATGACCATCAGACAAAACAGTTGACAGAAGCTAAGACAATAAAACACTAAAGCGCCTCAAATGACACAAGCAGACATCTTTCATTTCAAATATCAACAATATTCACTTACATGACTTAATCAAACACTACCCAACATGTGTTAACACTAAATCTGATCAATATCTTCATTAAACGCACAGCAGACAGAAGCTAAGGTAGTAAAACATTAGACAAAAGACAAAAGCATACATCTTTCAACATGATTCCGTTAGATAACTCAATCAAACACTAATCAACATGTCTGAAAACTGAATCTATCCAATATCTACACAAATCAAAGAACATTTACCAGCTTGAGAAGTAGGAGGCTGCTTGGTCTGAAGCTTAGCAGGCTGCACAGGAGCTGCTTTCTCAACCTTCTTCGGCAAAGACACAACAATCTGGCTTGGATCCTCAGCGTCACCTCCCAAGAGATCAAAAGGGTTCAGAGTCGACATTTTCGGATTCTGGTGAAATCGAATCAAATCAAGAAACTGTTTTGCTTGATGGGTTTTTCGAGAGGGAAAAAACCTTATTGACTACACGAACCCATGGATGAAATCTGAATCAAAGGGTCGAAGAGATGATTTCGGACAAGACTTGTTTTGTTTGTGGGTGACTCGGAAGTAGAAGGAGAGTGAATGGGAGCTTGGAAAAGTATGCGGCAGAGAGGTGTAAAGACGCTTAAAACCTAATCCGTAAAACCATCTGGACATTATACTCTGCGGACGGTTGTATCTTAAGCTTGTCTACTCCGCTTATTTCGTACGTACGATTGGGTTTTAATCCCATGATCTTAGAGAGAGTACTTAGAAAAATATTAATATTATAATCACTGGGTCCCATGAATAGTTAAGGATTCTATGCTTAAAATCCTTATTTAAGGATTGATCCTTGCACTATTCGCGGGCTCCACTGCACACGTGGCGACACGTGAATGGTCAATTTTTTTTTTTAAATCTGAAATATCCTTATATAATCTGAAATACCCTTTTTATTTTTTTCCTAAGGACTCTCCCTAAGGATTCCCCATTGCACATACTCTTATAGATTAAATAATTCTCACAGACTGATAACGCCATTAGAAGTTACAATAGGCTTGGAAAACGGCCAATTCCCCCATAAATTAATTGACTTGTGCTTATTCACGCACAAACTTTTTTACCAAACTAAAACCCCCACGAATAACTCAAATATTTGAATTACATACACAAATTAACGATTTTAAATTGATTATCACAAAACCGTAAATGGTGTTATCAAGCCATTAACAGGTTTACTTAACCATTTAATTTCGGTTAAATAAAGACTAAAGCGACGTCATTTTGCTCTTCTTCCTCATTTTGGGATAAAATCAAAATTAGGGTTCACCAAAATCGACATCAAGGGAGATGAGAGAGATAACTCAGAGAAGATAAAAAGAATTGTAATTGAAGCTTTTCCTTAGTACCAGTGAATCTCGTCTATAATCTTGTTATTTGGGGAGTGTTATTACAAGTGGTGAATTACGAAAAGACAAAGATTGAGAATGAGGTAAACCGACATTGTTTCTCTCTGAAATTCTCAGAATTAGTTCTTTTAGTGTCGTTTTGATGTCTTTCTCTTTTATTTCTCAGCGACGAACATGATACACCGATTAATTTCGGTTGTTACTATGGTGGGAAGTTTGAGATGGTTGAAGGAAATGACATGTACGTAGGAGGTTGTTATCGGGTCATACAAAGTCGAGCTCGTGAGTTATTCCTGAAGCCAATGAATCAGTTACCGATCAGCATATATGGGAAAATAGTCTCGTTTAAACTCCCGTATGAAAAATGGAGGAGCATAGGTTGTTGGCTAACGGTGGTATAAACTTTAAGAGAATGTGTGAAGCTTCAATGTGGACTACCACAATCGAGATATTTATGGAGTGTGAGACAGAGAGAGCCGAGATAGAGATGGAGGAAAATGAAGCAACCCATGACAATGAGCGAAATGATACAGAGAGATATGAGTATGAAAGAGAGTTGAGGCCTTCATGTGATGAAGAAGCAAGAGTTGAGAGAAATGTTTCAGGTTTTGTAGATGAAGAGGTTGATTTGTTTGCTACACCGGTCGGCTCAGATGATGATCAAGATGGTAATGAGGGTTTAGGCTACCTCACACACAAGAAAGGGAGTGGTGAGCTTCTGTTAAGACAAGCCTTTGATAGTTTAGATGCTTTTAAACAGGCGATGGTATACTATGTGTTAAAAAATGGTTGGGATGTGAAGTATGTCCATTGGGATAAAGACAAATCTGAACTGAGATGTGCTAGTGAAGCAAAAGAAGGAGAGGAGAATTGTATGTGGAGGATATACTGCTCTTATGAAGAACCATTACAAAAATGGATGGTTAAAATCTACGTTAAGCATCATAGTTGCAGTAAAAGTGGATACTCAAGGCTGATTACACAAGAGGTCATTGCAAAGTTGTTTATAGACGATCTTAGAAACGATCCCAAAATAAAGCCAAAGAGATTATGGAAGATATTCAGAAGCGTTGGGAATTGACTGTGACCATAGATCAGTGTAAACATGCAAAGAAAAGGGCTTTAGAAATAATCAAAGAGGAGCATGATCTACAATTCTCAAAGCTTAGAGATTACCGGCTGGAGTTGTTAGAATAAGTGACAGTGTCATATTTTGTTTTTTTTAATTGTTTCATTTTTTGTTTTAAACTTAATATTATACTAGGTCCAATGAAGACTCAACAGTAGAGCTCGATACACTCAACGGAGATGACGGTGAAGATGTTTTCTACAGATTTTACGTCTGCTTTGGTGCATTGAAGAACACTTGGTGTGCTCACTGCCAGCCGATCTTTGATCTTGATGCATGCTTCCTCAAGTGCACAACAACGGTTCAGTTGTTAGCAGCAGTTGGTAGAGATGCAAATAACCAAATGTTTCCTATAGCATGGACTGTTGTTGATGTTGAGAGTGAAGACAGTTGGATCTGGTTCATTCAGAAGTGCAGAAGGATTTAAACCTTCACAATGGTGAAGGCTTCATAGTCATATAAGATCGACAAAAGGTACTAATTACATACTTTTGGTTTCTTATGTTAGTATGAGGTATTAATTACATGCTGTTTATTTTCAGGGATTACTTAAGGCAGTCTCAAGTCTCTTGCCAATGGTTGAGCACAGGATGTATGCAAGACACATATACGCGAACTTGAAGAAGAAACATCCATATAGAGCTGACATGAAAGGCTTGTTTTGGAAGGTTGTGAAGAGCTACAACACAGCACAGTACAACAGGAAAGTGGATGCAGTGAAAACATATGACATGAGTGTATATGATTCGATGATGGAGAAGAATCCCAAAAACTGCAGTCTCGCCTACTTTACTCCTTCCTCTACTTGTGATGATGTGAGCAACAACATATCAGATTCTTTTAACCATGCGATTGATCCAGGTAGAGCAATGCCACTGGTGGAAATGCTGGAAACAATACGAAGAAGAGCTATGTTACGCATTGAGGCAAGAAAGCAGAAATCAATGAATCACATAGGGAAGTTTAGTATTAAAGCAATGGAAAAATTCAGTGAGGAGCAAAAAGAAAATCCGTGGTTGCACTATATACCCTTGCGGTTTTGATGTATTTGAGGTGAAAGAGAAAAACACTGCATACAAAACGAAGATGGTTGACCAAACTTGCACTTGTCGAAAGTGGGAGATGTCGGGAATTCCTTGCCGACATGCCCTGAAAATTATTTCGGTAAAGAAGCGCAAGCAAGAAGATTATATGGCTGACTGTTACCTCACCTCGACATAGAGAAAACAGTATGAAACACCCATTGAAGCTATTTGTGGGATAATCTTTTGGGAAAAATCAGTAGATGCAAAGATTGTTCCACCATAAGGAGAACCGGAGCAATCAAAAGGAAGAAAGAAAATTCCTAAGCGCATAAAAGGGAAGAACGAGTCTCCTAGTAAGAAAAAGAGTAAGGCTAGGAATGAGTCTCCTACAAAGGTTTCAAGGGAGAGAAGAATCATTCATTGTGGCCGATGTGGAGAAGTAGGACACAACGTAAGAAAGTGTAAACAAGTTGGATCTCCGGTTCAAAGACAACCAAAGAAGACGACTGTGACACAGGGTGAAGGATGTAGTCAAGTGATCGACTGATATTTTTACATTTTCTTATGGCTTGTTTAGATCGTTTTAAGGCTTCTTATGTGATGTCTTTCGGATTTTAGCATTTCAGATTGACTTATTGCTTGTTTTGGATCGTTTTAAGGTTTCGTATGTGATGTATTTTGGATTTTAATGTTTCTCGGATATTATCTATTTTGTTTTGCATCTCTTATATGTTGTAGATTAAACACCAAAATAGATTACCAAAATAGATTCAAATATATTACAAATTCATCACCAAAGTACATCATGACAACACCAAAATAGATTCAAATAGCCATAGCCGCCTAGTATTACACAAAACACACCATTTTCATCAACACCTACATTAAAAACTTACAGAACAGAGCAACTACAACAACACAAACTATCATGTTCTTTATCTCTTTCACCTCCATCTTGGAATCTTGAAGTTCCTTCTCAAAACCTCGAAACTCTTTCTCTAAACCATTCGCAACTGATTCTAAACGAGTCACAAATGATTCACAAGCACGGGTGTCCATTATAAGAATTTCCAACTCTGAATTAAATCTCTCACTATCCTTTACTAAGCTGCTTGAAACTCTTTCAAGATCACAAATTTTCATCTTCATATCCTCAATCTATTCAAGAGCTGATCTATCTGCCCACTTGAACAAATGATACCGATTGCTCTACATCAAACGAACAACAAAAGCATACGATTTTTATACGACAGAAACAATAATTTCAATTGTAGCCACCACAACAAAAGCATACGATTTTGTTAACAAACAAGTAAGAACACGATTTTGTTCTCGAACAGAAAATAATGTTCACAAACCTCATCTCCATGTGGACAAGAATGAAAAAGCCTCCCCGGATTTCTTATTGTTTTTTATGTAAACAACCCCACACGTTCTCCACATCTGCAATGGGTCGGGATTCCTCTTTCGTTGAAGTTCATTCTCCAATGGTCTTCTATCTTTCCTCTCTATCTTCTTTGTGTCGTCTCTCCCTCGATGTCGATTTTGGTGCACCCTAATTTCGATTTTATCCCAAAATGAGGAAGAAGAGCAAAACGACGTCGTTTTAGTCTTTATTTCACCGGAATTAAATGGTTAAGTAAACATGTTAACGGCTTGATAACACCGTTTAAGGCTTTGTGGCAATCAGTTTAAAATCGTTAGTTTGTGTATGTAATTCAAATATTTGAGTTATTCGTGAAGGTTTTGGCATGATAAAAAAGTGCGTGTATAAATAAGCACGGATTAATTAGTTCATGGGGGAATTGGCCGTTTTCCCGACTTTTACCCCACTTACAGAATTTATGGGCTTTAATTTCAACCTTTTAGACTATTTTTTTGGGCGTTAACCTTCTAGACTAGCACAGGATTTTTTTTTGTCAACGACTAGCACAGAATTTTAGTCATGCTTTATTCATCTTTTTCTTTATTAAGGGTTTACTGTTTATAGCTTTATTCATATATGTTCTTCACAAATTGATTTCATATGGATCCTTTTTCTGTGGGTGTTATTCTGTCATTGACTCTAAATTTCATTATGCAGACTTTATCATTTATAAAGGTAAGTATTAGGATATCATATGAAATGAAATTGCGTGCGTGAATTTTAAAACCTCTTTAATATATTTGACTATTTTTAAATATTTTACTTGTAAAATTTGTTGAAGTTATTTCAAATGATTACTAAAATTTTCAAAATGGTTTAGTTTTGGATGATATTAGAATCTAATGAGATATTTGAAATTTTGATTGAATAGCATCTGATTTTTTAATCAGATTTGGAGACAAACACGAAACTGTTCTTAGTAAATTTATTTTTTCTGAAATTTATTATTTTTGAATAATATATATTTGTAGGTGTAAATATAAATAATAAACTTACCATATAATCTTAAATATATAATTTTTAAATAGTCATAATACATATTCATATTTACAACATAATACAAATATTTATCTGTATATTTCAGATCTTATTTTTGAATAATTTTTAAATTTAAATATTCATTATTTATAAAAATATTTAATTAATTAAAATAATAATATAATTCGTGAAAACTATAGATAAATATAATAAAGCATTTGTCGGTTGTTCCCTCAAATTTACTAAATTGATGGGTTAGTCTACTTTATTTTTATAAATATGATATTATATTCATCTAAACTGTAAAATATAAATCTTATATATTAAAACAGAAGTCACAACTTTGATTCATGTGTGATTTTTTAAAAAATGGACTATTCCTTAGAAAGATAATCAAATGTTACAAATCTAATGATAATATCTTTAAGTATCTTTATCTTTCAATTTAAAATAGAAATGAAATAAATCCAACAAAATCTTTTTGACATCTTTTTAAATTTTATTTCCTTAAATCATTGAATTTAAATTCTAATTACCATAAAATATCATTAAAATTATTATTTTATTTATAAAGGAAAATTTAAAATTATCTAAAATATTTTTAGTTATATTTTAATGAGAATTATAATATAAATTAATGGAGTTTCAAAAACACTTATTTAAAAAATTAAAATAGATTATGTTAGAAAAAAATAAAATTCAATTTCATATATACAAAATAATATATTATATATTTATCTATCTATACTATTAAAACGAAGTAAATATAAAACTTTGATAGTATTGTAAAAATTTAAATATATGATTTACATTTAATTATATATATATTTTATAAGTTTATAATTTTGTTGTTTAAGTTTCTTATTCGTCATTATTAATATATACTCCCTCCGTTTCAATTTAGTTGTCATTCTAGGTTTTTGCACACAGATTAAGGAAATATTTAATTTTACATATTTTCAAGATAAAAACACAATTACCTATACACCTAACCACTTTTCAACCAATAGAAAAATACAATATTATAAAAAACTAATAAATTTTGCATCGAAACTCTAAAACAACACTTAATTTGTGACAAGAAAATAAGCCTAGAATGACAAATATTATGAAACGGAGGGAGTAGTAATTTGTTTTAAATATTATAATTTATATTCTTATGGATTGTTATTACTTATTAATATATTTTGGATTTTGATACATAAATTATAATCTGAAATAATCAAATATATAATATTTTGATATAAATTTTTAGTTTCTACAATTTGCATACAATACATTTATTTAGATATACTATAGTTAAATATTTGTTAATGATAATTTATATTTTCATGTTGTGTTTAAAAATGATACTTTGACATTTATTGCTTTAGTATTTTGTAAAATTTTATAAATAAATATATTTTTATTGATATATTTTTATAAATTATAAATAGATAAAAAACCCGCACGGTTGTGCGGGTCAAGATCTAGTTAATTGTTAATTTATTATTTTACGTATATTTTCATATGAATAATAGTGAATACAAATCCAAACTATGAATAAATGATAATAAATATGGTTGGTATAGTTGACAGTTTCAGAACAAACTACTTAATGTAAACTATAAAACTATTATATTAAAGTGACATATTAAGAAAATATTTAATATGGGTGAATTTTAATAATATATACCACTATTAAATATTAACTAACAAAAAAAATCAAAAACAATTACACGAACGTGCTGATCAAACTTTAATTGTTATTAATATTATAGTTGTATTAATTATATGCTATAGTTAAAAAACATCCAGATGCAAGTTGGATCCAATTTTATGTTTCTGTTTTAATAATTGATGATATATGATTCAAATCTATTTAATTATACAAATCGTCAAGAATATGTCACATAAAATTTATTTTATACCATACTTATGTTTTAACAGAATAAATGAAGCATGATGTATACATATAAGATCTCTATTACCACTGATCTTATAGACATAATTATAAAATATTATCTAAATCTCAAAAATAGAGTTAGATTTAAATTCTTTTAAAACAATCATTGGGTGTTTAAATCATTCTTTTAAAAATAGAGTTAGATTTAATTCTTTTTAGTCTCTTTGTGTCTGGTTTTCTACATGAGAAATTAATATTGGGAAGATTCTATAAGTCTTCTCTATAAAAGTCTTCTATGATATTTTGTTTCAATGTACTTTTATTTATTTGCAAAAATTTCTACAATTTTCTTTTAAATATAAATTTAAATCGAATTATTTTGATTACATATCAAAATTAGTAAAAAAAATATAATTAATTATGTAATTTTTGAGAATATCTTATATTTTAACCACACAAAAAATCTAAAACATCTTAAATATTGAAACAAACGAAGCTTATGAGCTTTTGACAGCAAATGAGCAAAGTGTTTAATATTTATGAGAACATATATTGCTGTCCAAACCTAGATACCATTTTAAAATGAATTGAATTAAGGACAATTCTCTAAAATAGCATTCTTTTAAGTTTTTATCATAAAAATTGACCTTAAAATTAAAATGACCAAAATAACATTTTTTATTTTGAAAATTTTAAGTTTTCTTATTTTTTTTTAAATTCGAAACCCTATCCCCAAAACCCAACTCCTCAATTCTAAACAAAAAAATCTAAGATTAGTTAACTCAAAAGGTATAAATATATATTTAATAAAACATTTAAGTGTTATTTTGGTCATTTTAATTGTTAAGGTGTATATTTGTGATAAAAACTTTTTTAGATCTATTATAGTCATTTTTTCTTGAATTAAACGCATATCATAAGTTGGTCAAAAGTATGGTTGTCAAAATGAATCCAACTTTAGAACCAAAACTATGAATTTTATTATTCTATGAAACAACGAGGTCTATTCTCTAGAGTTTTTTAAGTTTTTTGTCACAAAATAAATCTTAAAAATTAAAAGAATCAAAATAATATTTTTTATTTTAATTTTTTTTATTTTAAAATTTTTTAAATTATATCTCCAAAACCCACTACTCAACTCTAAACCCTAAACCTAAATTCTAAATCTTAAATCCTAAAACCTAAATTTTAAACCGTAAACCTCACTTCTCAACTCTAAATTCGAATGATTAAATTTTATATTTAATTTTTTAATAAAACATTTAAATCTATTTTGGTCATTATTAGTTTTAAAGATTTATATTTGTAACAATTTTTTGAAGTCTATCTTAAAAAAAATTTCAAACAACAATAATATATATTTTAATGATTTTTTTAGACCTGGATAATATTTTAATTGAATTAAATTAAAAGCGTATCATAATTTGGTCAAAGTAAGGTTGTCAAAATGAATCCAAATTAAGAATTCAAACTCTTGACTTTTTTTATATTTATGTATGTAAACAACAGGGTGAATAATTCAGCTACGATTCAATTCAATAAAATTTATACACGCACTGACGCACACTACGTTAATACATACTAATGTTATCAAAAAAATAATAATAATAATACATACTAATATTGTTATGTCTCGCAATACAAAACAGTCAAAACTGATACATATAAAACATTGTGTAGATTTTGTAATATGGTTTTGTTCCGGTTGGGCCATATTCACGTCATCTGATATGTATGTACGAATTTATTAATGGAAACGGCTCTATATAATGAAGGAGAGACCAATAAAAAAAACAAATGAAATCCATATCAAATAATTTACATGAAGAACACTTTACTATCTGCCACAACATTTTTAAT